GGAATTGTATATAAATAACCAATGGCAGAATGTGATCTTATTTTTTCTGTCATGCTCATTGATAGGAATATATTCATACTAACTTCAGACCATATAAATTACTGGATAACTTCCTAATTAGCTGTAGGGTAAGCTATGCTATGGCTCCTTTGTTGGGATCCATTAGTGCAAAAGGACCATAAGCCTAGCAGATCCATCTAGCTGAAAATCCCTTCTTCAGAGAGCATCATGGAACAGAACAAGCCGAGGAATGGAGGAATTGTAAATAGTTCCTTGGCATGATCCCTTTTTCAGCTGCAATGAACACACGGATGATTCACAACTGAGAATATGGCCCAAAGTCTGTAACTTTGCTTACAGTGAACCTGAACCTAAGTCTTTTGGTGTCTTTTATTAGTCTCACAGAATCATAAACATGTCTTGATAATCCCATGCAAAATATGACTAACTCTCTGGTATCAGCAGATCCTACTGAAAAGTTTTACACAATTATGTAATTATGAAGGACCAGCTGAGGGTCAGCTACTTTGCAATAAAGTGAAAAAGGACTTTATGTAGAAATAGGCATCTGAACGCTAAAGCGGGTGGAGTGGGGTTAGTATAAATAATAAACTGTTCATGTTGGTACCATCTCAAGAAACTGGTCAAAATAGCTAGAAAACCATGAAGAATTCTCATGATGATAATAAACCCATGAAAATAAAACTATTTCTGAGTCTCTGAGTTTTTCCGTACGTATTATGTCTGACTGTCTCATTTCATCAAGCAAATGAAAGGGAAAAGAGGAGAGTCAGGATGAAATTTATTCTTCTAGCAACATAACTTGGAAGGCCATTTGATATTTTTGGAAGAAAAGAAGTGGTTGTGGTTTTGCATATTCTCCAGTGTTCTCTTTAACCTCAACATCTAGCAATTTAGGTCCCAATCCTGCAAATATCCTTCAACCCTGTGCACATGAATAGTCCTACTACACTCAAAGGAATTGCTTACATGCATAAATATGTACATTTAAACTTACTTCAGAGTGGGAGGGGTTGACTAGATCAGTGTTTCTCAACCAAGGGTCCGGGGCCTCCTGAAGAGCCTTGGGCAGGGTTCATGAAGTCCACCAAACAGGGCTGGCATTAGACTTGATGGGGTGAAAAGCAGAAAGGAGATGCTCAACCACAAAGGGCTAAAGCAGGGATGGGCAATAATTTTCACTTAATGAATTTTGGTAGGTGGTCATGGGCTGGGTCCACCTCCCCCGGAAGGAGCAGGGTCTGGACTAGCCTCCTCCCAGGGTTGTCTGGGTCCACAAGCTTTGAATTAAAACACAGAAAAGGGCTCCCACTCCCAGCCCTGCCACTACCATATTGCCTGGCAGCCTCCTGGGTTTACTGCAGCTATTTAAAAGACTCATGGCTCTGGCTCACGTCAGGGTAGAGGAGCCATGAGCCCTTTTAGGATCCTCTGCCTGTGCCACCTCCTGGAAATTCTGTGGCACAGGCCACAGGATATAAATAGAAAGTGGCCAGATGCAGTCTGCAGGCCGGATCTAAGTGTTAGGTGGGCCGGGTCTGGCCTCCAGGCAACATTCCTTGCCTCGCCCTGGGCTAAAACATGGCGTCTCAACCTTGCTATACAGGGCTTAAACCAAATCCTGAGCAATTTAGCATTAGGAGGCCCTAGGCAACTGCCTTGCTTGCCACCCCCTCATGCTGGCTCAGGGATGCTGAGAGCCATTAAACTGAACTGAATACACTGTATATATGGAAACCACTTCAAGCCAGGGGATGCTGCAGCATCCCCGCACTCTGGATCCAGCACCTCTGTCATAGCTTTTATATGCAGAAAAACAGTTGTTGTGGGCCATGGAGTTTTTATGGCAGATTAGTGAGGCCTCACAAAGAAAAAGAGGATCCCTTCCAGCCCTACATTTCTAAGAGTCTATGTACATGAGTGTTTGTGGATTGGGGACTTAGTTTTCCATTGTTTTTCCTTCCTCCACTTGCTCAATTCCCTACCCCTAAAACCAGAAATTTTTAGTTGATGTCTAAAAATTGCAATAGGAAAAACACACAAATAATCAACAAGGGTAGGAAAAACATAAACATTATAGAATCATTTGGGTTCAAAAGGCACTGTAGATGATTGTCTATCTCCCTGCATGTTATAGTTATCAATGTACACAGTTCCTAAAACTAGATGGGAAAACATGCTTTAGGTGTCATTTGACAAATGATAACAAACATAGATCAAACTGAAGCAAGCAAATTGGCAGGCAAAAAGTGAGTGACAGAATTGCCCTAGGGATTGCACAGGTGTTACAGGCATGACCACGTGAACAGAAATGTGCACATGCTGTCATACAGAACACCTTTGTACCAAGAAGGGTTGCTTTTTTTTAATCTCCTTACTCCTAAAACTGTCAAATCAAATACATTTTTAGAAGCACAAAGAAAAATGAAATGACTCATTTCTATTTAATAGTTTGATATGTTAACTAGCAAGAGGAGAAAAAAGAAACAATGAATTAAATATGCACAGGCTGCCTGTTCTTAATGTCTCCCGTAAATCCTTGATCTATGATAATCTCATGTTATTGTAGTGATAGTACAGGACTATCATTCATCTCACATATAAGCGAGGTATTCTTGCATGTCGTTCTAGATGTTATCAAAAAGAAAATGAAGTCAGAGGTGGCAGTCAAGACAGCAGGATTTAGAATGAGTACAGAACCCCCAAATAGGATTTTTTTTAAAACTTGAGAAATTTGATGGAGGAGGCCAGGAAATTTAATCAGTCACTTTACATAAACAGTACTTCATTGATATCAGAAAGCTTTCCTTGTGCAAATATGTACAGGCATCTCATGTGGATTTCCCTGTTTCATTCATTAGGGTAGTGGAGAACTTGCAAAGAAATCATCAGCAGTTCAATGAACAATTTAAACAGAGCGGATGGCTATTGAAAAGGATACCTCTTTATTGTCCCTTTAAATATTTCTGGAGAGATGGGATCGAGAACAGCAGTAGATATCTCAGACATGAGTATGTTGACAAAATATGAAAAACAATCCTGTGGTGGCAAAGTCAATGTAATTCTCATCACCGCCACAGAAAAAGGACTGAGATGTTTTACCTGTGGTGTGAATATAAATAATATTCACTTTGGTTTTTAAGAGAGTAGCGGCAGGCAAAATGTAAAAATTCCTAAAAAAGCAAAAGTCAGAATCACTCCCATGTACCTTTCAATTAGGAAGAATATGCCCCAGGATTTTGGTGGCCCTTTGTGTAGGTCCTCCCTAAGGATGTAAAAGACTGGTTGACTAGTCGACTATCCGATAAGCATTTGCTTATCAGATAGTATTTTGACTAGTCGATATCCTCTCCCTTTGCTGTCTCTATGATATAGAGGCAGCAAAGTAGGGTGGGGGAGGAGTACTTCAAAGTGGCAGTGCTTTTCAAAGGGACAGCCGTGGATCAGCTGTGCCTGTGCTGCCTGTGCACCTCCACGGCTGCCCCTTTGAAACTGTTGCCTCCGCCCATTTTAAAGGGGCAGTGGAGCCCGGGGCCAGCTGGGGACTTCCCAGCTGACCCTGAGTTCCCTGCAGCACTTCCCAGCTGACCCTGGGTTCTGGGGAAGTACCGTGCAGAATATGGGGTCAGCTGGGGAGGCTCCAGCTGACCCGGTTCTCCTAGGGCCATGGTTCCCAACACGGTGCCCGCGGGCGGCACCGCGCC